GGGGTCGAAGGGGTTTTGTGCGGTCGTCAGCATCTCCGTACACACAGACACACACACGACGCACGTACACACACAGAGCTACTGTGCGGCCCGGGTAAAGGTGGGGGCGCGCCGAGGACGTAGTGTGCTGGCGTGGCGTGGCCGAGAGCTGGCCAGCAGGCCGCAGACAGCGCGGCGGCGGCTGAGGCAGCAGGCGGCGCCTCCAATAGGAGGAGGAGGAGGAGGAGGAGGAGGGAGGGGAGGAGGGAGGGGGCGTAGTGATTATCCGGGGCTTCCCTGCCCCGCCCGCCCCTCCAGCCGATCAGCACCGCACCCTGCCGCCGCGCTGCCGCTACTGCGCGAGGACGCTACGCTTCCGGGGGGCCACGCCTACCTCAACCTCACCTCTCACCCTCCCGCAAACCACCTCCTCCGCCCACGTGAAACGTGCCGTACGTACTGACGTAATAGGGCCGGGTGTCTCTCATTGTTCAAAATACTTCGAATGAAAGTGACGATTACCCGCGATTTACTTCTCCCACAGAGAGTGGTGAGTACCGGTTGTAACTGTGAATGCGCAGCAGTGTTGCGGGTTTGCCTACTCCGTACCCCTGCGGCCATATTGCCATATGCAATCCCGCAACACTTCTGCGTATTTACAGTTACCCACGGTACACATTATTTTTGGCAAGAAAGGATCGAGAGAGGAGCGGAGAGGGGGCGAGAGAGAAGGGGGAATGTGTTATCAGAGCCAGCCGCCGGCCGGCCTACGCCGCACTAGAATTAGAACGTAATTGGGTCGGCGCGTCGCACACGAGGAGAATTGAGAATTCCTGTCGTAAAAGCGTGACTCACTCGTTGAGACAACATTGAAGCCCCTCCAGAGCACACTGTCTTCTTCATTGCTGTGAGAGAAGACCCCCGTCGCTTCCACGAAATGTCATGTAGCGTGTGTGGAGTTTCGAGCCTCCTGCTCGCCTCAAGTTTGGGGCGTTGCGCGCTGCTCTGCGCTCGAGCGGCGCGGCGCGGGGCGGGCCGCGGAGTAGGAGGGGACGGCCTTGCGAGCTCCCGGCTGTACATAACCGAACTGAACGGGCTACCAACCCTGACAGGTCCAACGATAAAGTATCGCCACGCCAGGCCCGCTGCCTGCAACGCGCTTAGGTTGGCAACAGTGTTGGTTTTTGTTTCCTGGCCGTTTCGAAAAAAACGGTGGCGGTCAGGGTGAGCAAATACCATGGCTATTACATGTTTGATTGATGCTGTTTGATGGACAAGCGATGATTCGGGAGTGAGCAGAGCTCCGTGTCCTGTCCTCGTGGTCCTCGCCGGCATTGACAGCAGAACAGCGGCAGAGATGCTGGTGCTGCACTCGCGGTGGGAGTGGGGCGTGGCGGGCCGTGGAGCTCGGAGCCACAGCGGCCGCAGCTGCCGCAGCGCGAGTGGCGGGCCGCGCCACGCAGTCTGGCCGGCCGCCCCCCCCCCTTCCCCCTTCTCCGCTCCGCGCCCCTCTCCGTATCACGAGGAGACCGTTGAGTGACCAAGTCCTGACCACCGCGTCCAAAAAGATCACTATTTGCGTGCTGAAGCGGCTGGGCGAGTGGCCAGGAGAGCCACGCCCCATAGAGACCTCGCGGCTAGAGTAAGGTCAAATGACCTCTCGCATTTCCAGGATCCCCTCTTCCTCCTGCGTCCCTGCTGATGCTGGAACAGCGCACTTCTTGTCTGTCTCAATTAAAATCTGTGTTTTTATTATTATTGTTTCTGGATCTCATCGGTTTGTGGCATGTTCAAAAAAGGTCACGCGACAACAAAAACGTTAAATTATTCAGTAAAAAGCTCCACCAGGACTATAAAGCTATCGTCGAATTACTTTGCACGACTCTCGGAATGATATGCTGTAAAACGGGATTTTCTTTCTGTTGATTTAAAAACACGACAAAAACTGTGTGCACATTTTTAATCTGCGATAAACAAAGAGAAGGTGCCCCAAAGCCTGCATCGATCGGCTGGGCTCCGCGACACACCTTGCATTAAAGTCACTCGCCCCGCCCCGCACACCCCACCTCGCGCCGAGTCAATGACCGTTAAGGCGTGGCTCGCGCCATTGATTCAACTTCAATGTCAACAAGCCCGTCCGTAAATGAGCAGAATTTTTATCATATTTTTTTTGGCTCGCCCGTTTTCTTTTATTTGGGGTTCGACGTTAATTGGACTAGTTCGAATAAGGAGCTGCTTCTCCTTTATTCCGACGAACCAAGCCAAAATTAAGATACAAAGAATTTATTCTGTTTGGTTGGTTATTGTCGGAGGGAAGGGCGTTTATTTGTAAAAGACATATCTCAGCAGGGCATCGCAACCGGGTTCCGAGCTTCGCTCTCT